GTAAAAATGAAGTGGAATGATTAAAAACTGGAGAAAACCCAGAAGGTTCTTGACAGGTTAGAAGCAACAATAAATAATGGCTTGAACAGCATAGAAGTTGAGAAGCATTTGTAAAAATGGATAGACTCCCAGATTGTTTTCATAGACAAAGACGACCATGTTTGACACTGGGCTGCTAAAATGAAAGATGAGGTCATGGTAGCTGGTCTTCCAGAGAGCACCAACTGAGGAGGGAGCATAAGGCAAGCTGACAGGCCACATACACCCCCCACTCTCCCCACCCCCAGGTGGGATATGTGTGATATTCTTCGGGCACTGCTGGCTGCCCAAGAACAAAGGAAAGGGGAAAAACAAATGGTTAACTGATAGAGATCCTAGTCCTGCAGGACCTAAGTCTCCATCACCCCTCCATAGTGATGTGGGAAACAAAGGCAGAAGGAAATGGCAGAAAGAACTAGCTTTCCTTATAATCTGCAGCCCATTGACAAATGCTTGAGGGTGGTGGCAGAGTAAGACATTTCTCCAGAACTCCATACTCTCTTAATGGTCATGGTTTCCTGGAAGGAAAACAACCTTAACTTGACAACAGCTAGGCCTCCAGTCTCCTTGAGTCTTCTTTAGCATGTGAAATTCTCACTGGAAACTTCCCCTGGACTTTACCTCCTCCCAACTCCATTGTATAAAACCAGTCTCTCATGTTCCTGGGGCAGCTCTTCCTGCCCGCGGGTCCTGTCCCCGAGCTTTGATAAAATCACCTTTTTGCACCAAAGATGTCTTCAAGAATTCTTTCTTGGTCGTTGGCTCTGGACCCCATGGACCCCACTATCACCACAAAAACCTCATCACCGATGAGCCCCACCTCCCGGTATCCACACCCGGTGTAACCCCCAACTCCCACAATGCAGCAGGCTTTGTCTGTGTAACCAGGAACAGAGGGAAGGCATGCCCCTCCCAAGATTGTTATAGAACACCCTGCTGCTTCCATTGTAGTCATTCCCTTGCCAGTTCTCTAGCTCTCTAACCACTCAGCTGGAGGAAGACAGTCGTCATGCTACAAGCAGCCCTCTGAAGAGCCCAGGTGGTAAGGATCTGAGGACTTTGCCCAAAAGCCTGAGAAGAACTAAGAACTCCTGCCAACAGCCATGCGAGCTTGCAATCAAATCCTCCTTCAGATGACTACAGCCCTTCTGACTGCTTGTCCGTATCCTTCTGAGCCAGAAGATATATCCAAGTTGTTTCCAGATTCCAGCCCCACAGATACTATGGGGGATAATAAATATTCGTGTTTTTAGGCCGTTAGGTTTGGGGGCTCTTGTTATGCAGCAATAGATAACTAAATCACAGGTCAAGGAAGCTCCCCGTGCCATTTTGCAAATTCAATAAAAAGGTTGACACCTCTCCTACAGATGCAATTTATAGCGTTTAGAACAAACATTAGCAGATACTTGGGACCTTCACTTTTCAAGATAAAAGATAAGCTCTCCCCACTTTTTTTTTTATTATTATGTGATAGGTCATTTTGATTCCCCTTTTAACTAGCCTACAATCACCTGTACAGTCTTCTGTAGATATCTTCCAAATACCTGAATGTCTCAGTTCACCCTTTTCTATCTTTGGTCAACGTCTCCTCCTCAGCGAGGCTGGTCCCAAGCACCTTACTTAAAATTACAACCCCACTTCGTCCCATTCCTGACTTTCCTTATCCCACATTATTTTTCCTTAATTCTTCTACTAATGTTACTGTGTATCTCCCCCCACCGGGCACCAGCTCTACGGGGCAGGGATTTTTGTCTTTTTAGTCATGTACGGTTCTGACGTATCCTCATTTCCTAGAACAATGCCTGGCACTTAAAAGGTGCTCAATAAATGTGGATGTGAGCTTTGGAAGCTAATTTCGTTCAAACAGCTCTTTTATTGTACCGACTGGCCTGTGTTAAGGATCACTGCTATACTTAAATTTTCTGACTCAGTAGGTTGTTAATAAACAGTAGCAATGATCTAAAAGCAAACCTCCATTTAAAAATAAAAATTGTTAGCTTGAGTGACTCACAAGAAAGGACAGAAGAGCCAGTGGCTGAGATGGGCATTGATCTGTGGACTTACTACCTAAATTAAATCCTTATCATTACATATTCTAAAAGAAGTACGTGTCATCATGTGTGCCTATAAAATGATTTCATGTCTTTCCTCTTCACACTCAAAACAGATGTATGTTATTGTTTATTACCAATTTTGCAGCAAAGAATAGTATTATTCACTTTACCTAGACAAAAACTAAATACATAAATCAGATGGTGGTTCTAAAAAGTCTAAGAGGGCTATGACATCAATTCTGAAGACTTCTGGAAGCCTTGCCTAGAAAAGAGTCTCATATAAAGGCCCAGCAGAGCTGCTTTTATGGATGTGTGGCCTGTGCAGTCACACAGGACCTCATACTTAGAAGGGCCCATTACTCGGCTTAGTGCTCTGCTGATGCTGTCTTGGAATGCTTAATCATTTATGAATAAAGGCCTTTCATTTTTGTTTTTCCCTGGACACTGCAAATTGCATATGGCTGGTCCTGAGGCCCAGAGAAGACAGTATTACTCAGTTATCACTGCCCACGGACGTAAACAGAGGTGGAATGACAAGAAGAGCATAAAAGTTCCAAGCGAGACACCCCCAACCTACCCCCCCCCCCCCCACCGTGAGAACTGGAGAAATAGCAGTAGCAGTTTAGTGCTTGCTACTCAAAGTGCGGCCTGTGCCATCAGCACCACCAGCAGCAGCAGCAGCGGCAGGCCCTAGGAGCTTGTTAGAAAAGCACTCCAAACCTACTGGCCCAGAATGTATATTTCTTGTGCACTTTAAACTTGAGAAACAGAGCTGGGCTGTTCCAAGAGTAATCCAGGACACCTGCGACAACGGACGTTTGAAAGGGATCCTTTGGGGCGCCTGGGTGGCTCAGTGGGTTAAGGGGCTGACTCTTGGTTTGGGCTCAGGTCTCACAGGCTTGTGAGACTGGGCACCACACTGGCAGTGTGGAGCTTGCTTGGCATTCTCCCACTCTCCTTCTCTTTCTCTCCCTCTCTCTCTGACCCTCCACCACTTGGCTCTCTCTCTCATAATAAGTAAATAAACTGAAAGAAAGAAAAAGAGAAAGAAAGAAAGAAAGAAAGAAAGAAAGAAAGAAAGAAAGAAAGAAAGAAGAAAGAAAGAGAAAGAAAGAGAGAGAAAGGAGAGAAAGGAAGGAAGGAAGGAAGGAAGGAAGGAAGGAAGGAAGGAAGGATCCTTCAAGGGGATCCTGCAAGGGTCCTTCCACCAGAAAAATCCTTTTCCCCTTCTACCAAAAAATTCCTTTCCTGAGATGCTGCCAGACTGGGATGCTAACTGATTTGTACATTACTTGTGTTCCTTCTGAAGTCCATTCTCCAGGATTGGGTTAATATGAAATGATGTTGATGAAGGTGCATGGGGCAGGCTGAGGGCAAAATACAAACTAGCATACTAACACCCTCCCCCCCTCCCACCTCCCCCCCAACATGGGATATGCGTGATACTCTTCAGGCACTCCTGGCTGCCCTAGGACAAAGAAGAGGAAAGCAAACAAATGGCTGATAGAGATCACAGTCATACAGGACAGGAGTCTCCATCAGTTTACAATGGTCTTGGTAAATTAAAAGATAAAGGCACTCTTATCAATAGCCTAATCTCCAAAAACCTATAGACTCCATTTCCTGGAGCCCCAAACATCACCCCTCAATAATGATATGGGGAACAAAGGCAAGAAGGAAAAGGCAGGTAAAATTAAATTTCCTCATAACCTGCAGCCCATTGACAAACACTTGAGGCAAATACAGAGTGTGGATGACATTTCTCTAGGAACCCCCCACCGTCCTAGTGGTAATGCCTTACTGGAGGGAAAACAACCTTTGCTTGACAAAAGCAAGGCCTCAGGTGTCTTAGGAGTCCTCTTCAGCATATCAAAGTCCCTCTGGAGGTCTCCCTTTTGACTTTATCTCCCCAACTTCATTGTGTAAAACCAGTCACTTTTCACAACCCCAGCGCAGCTCTTTCTGCCCTCAGGTCCTGTCCCGTGCTTTAATATAATCACCTTTTTGCACCATACACATCTTCAAGAATTCTTTCTTGGCTGTGGGCTCTGGACCACCCCACGATCACCCCAAAACCTCATCAATGTGGCTTGAAAAAAATAAGAAGAAAGCATGAAGAATGGGCTTTTGGGAACTAGGCTGAGAAGGTGGAAAACAGTTACAATAATAGAAGTGGGGGTGGGGGAAGCTACCTTACCAGGAGAATAAATAGCTAAAACCAAACAATTAAAACACGCAAGGCATCTTCCAAAATGTTTTAGGGGGATTACAATATTTAAATTTCACCACAAACTGCAGAAAGGCGTACTACCTCTACCTTTCTTTGCAAATGGAGAAACAGGCTTGAGAGTTTTGAAATGGCCACAATCTCCAGATAAAGAAACTGTGCATTTTCACAACTGTAAATTTTTGTTAACGTATTCACAAACATCTGCTACACTAACGAGTGCCTTTGTGTAGATTCGCTAACATTTTAGAATTAGGTCCTGAACGTTAGAGACCCTCGTTGAAGGAATCACAGGCATCAAACCAAGTTAACTTCAAATACTGCCTGAATCAGTCTGAGATAAAAGGAAGAAAAATGAAGAACTTCATTCCGGAAGCGAAGGTGACACAGTCGTCCACATTGTCGCATACGGCACATGGACACTCAGGCTTTGCTGTCACAGCTGGGAGACGACACCAGAAAGCACGTGGCCAAGTGCCTAAGGCTTCCGCAAAAAAAAACCCAGCGAGCACCGCAACGGTTTCCGGCTAACCGGATTCCCACCTACAGAGCAATGGGGACGAAAGCGGCGTCGGCGTCTCCAGCCCCCGGCGCCCCGCTCCGCCGCTCCCGCCCTGCAAACCCGGGAGGGGGAGGAGCCGAGGAATCGAAAGAGAAAGCAGGCGGCGGGAGCTGGCGGCCGCCGGCCTCCGGGAGCGGGGCGCGGGGATGGAGCTGCGGGCGCTCTGGCTGCTTTGCTGCTGCTTCTGCTGCTGCGGCCGCGCTGCGGACCCCCGCGCCACCTTCACGGCGACGGAGCCGCGGAGCCGCGAGCGACAGGCAGCCGCCTTCCGGGTACCGAGCGCGCGCCGCCCTGTGTCTGTTTCCTGGTCGCCCCTTCAGGTCCCGGGTCGGGGCTGGGGCAGGGGACCAGTGAGAGCCGCCACTCCTGGTGGTCACCCGGCCCGCAGCTCAGTGATGGGTTTGGGGTTTCTGACAAGTTCGCAAGTCAACCTCTCCCTCCTTTCCCCATGTGCCAGCTCTCCCTTGCCTGGGCTGACCAAAAGATTTGATTTTCTGGGGAAGATTCGTCGCGGTAGATTTATATGATACGCCCAAAGTAATCAATGGATATGTTCAAAGTATTCTCGATTGGAAGAAGCACCCCTTTTAGCAGTCCCCTGGACTGCCCTCACTGCCTTCCAAAGCCGTTCCTTTACAGTGAAAAGAACCAGATAAAGGCGGAAGAAACCCGTCAGTTTTCCTTCCGCAGGGGGGCGCTGGTGACCTCCTGTAACACAATGTTCTAAACAAAGAACCTGCATTTAGAGAGGTCACAGAATCCTTCCCATTTATGATTTGCGTGAACGGGGCCTCCTTCAATTGGTGTAGCGACCTTAAAAATTCTTCTTCACTTGCTGGAAATAGATTTTGAAAAGGAGGAAGCATTTAATTTCCTTTTCACATTATTTTCGGAAGTCTTCATAATAATGCTTAGATTTTTACCCCAGCATTCAAACTCTAGAATGGACCGAATTAGCTGAATATAAATAGGTTTTTACTGAGATCAAGGGATACGGATTTAGAACTTGCCTCAGTATGTTCTCTGTATCTGATACCATTTAACAATTTTTTTAATCATGAAAGATGTCATTTCATTGTAAAAGAAAATTGATTTGTTCTAAATAAAAGTAAGTACGGATTTAGTAATACGGCTTTTTGGAATCATATATATATATATATATATATATATATATATATGCTGATATACTGTTGGGATTTCTCCTGGAAGTCTATAGCTGTACTCTTTTCTGCTCCTCCTCTCTCCCCTAGAAAATTCCATTGTTTAGGAAGCCCTAACCTTGCCTGATTCTGTCCATTCTTGTGTTTTGCCCAAACGAAGATGTGTTTTATTGCTCTTGAGTTACATTGTAGCTTTTAAAACCGGAAGCACCGGTACAATTGTTTGAGAACAAACTTCCTGTCCTATATTCTAACCCTGCCCTGAACTTGGTTGTGTACTGTGGTGACCCACACCCTTTAGGGAGAATGTAGTTCATCTCATCTATACTGATAATGGCATTCCTTGGCTGAATAAATAAACGCACTGCCTTACTCCTCAAGAAAATCATTTTGGAGGATTGTAGGCACAAGGAGGCCAGAGTAATAAATATATTTTTTAACTTATATAATTCATAAGGATATGTATTTACTTATATAGTTATTCATGTTGGTCCTGTCAAGAGGCCATACCCAGGAGACGATTGTCTACAAAATGCAACTCTTCTCAGAGGCACCTGGGAGGTTCAGTCCATTGGGCGTCCTACTCTCCATTTCAGCTCAGGTCATGATCTCAAGATCCTGATGCATGGGGCTCCATGCTGGGCGTTAATTATTTCATTAATAATCCTTCCAGGACAGCTCAGTAAGGAAAAAAATAAATTACGATTAGTTTCAGTAATAATTTGCTTAAAAATAAACAGCCTAAATCTATTAAGAGCATGAATGCAAAATGTCCTTTGTGTATTTATTCAACAACAAATTGTAATTAAACATCTATCGTGTGCCAGCCAAGTGCTCAGTGCGGGAAATGCGGTGATGAGTAAGACAGGCAGTTCTTGCCCTCATTTTGCTTATAGGTTTAAGACACAGGCACACAATAAACACATAAATCCATAAACAAATACATAAGAGCTAGAGTCGGAAACTTATCAAATGGCAGTCCCCTGAAGTTTTATTGCTCCTGCATGGTTGGTTAGCATTAGGAAATGGAAGCATTTTCTCATAGGTTAAGATAAGTTACAACATTCAGAGCCGAGGAATCTGTAAATAATGGCCACATTTTCCCTCCAGATCGACAAGCCAATGTATCTTCCTGGGACATTTCCAGGATTGCCTCTTTTTCATAAAGACTTGTTACCCTTAATGAGATAGACGTCTCTATACAGCTCAAAAAGAATCAGATTTATTTATTATTTACTTATCTCTTTTGTCATGCTTTGTTACTTAGTGCTGGGAAATACAAAGATAAAGACACACTTTCCAAATTCAAAATTTTTAATCTAATGAGTTTCAGTTGGTGATAATTTTCACTAGCATCTAGTGTTTATTTGCAATTCATTTTATTTTTTTCCAGTGTGTTAAACAAACATATTTAGTGCTTTTAACATGCTTAGGGAAGAGGAATTATAAATGGATACGAGATACCTTTCCCGGCCTCAAAAATGTACCTGAAATCAGATGGTAGTTTTCATACAAATGTCTATAAATCTGATCTGGGCCTCTTATGCAGTCTTTCATTGTGATCTTCAGGAAAGAAATCAAGCTTTGACTTTTAATACCTGAAAAATATGCCCAATTTAGTTACATATAAATTGCTCTGCAAAGTTAACATAGGTCATGTAAATTAACTTTTTTCTTCTTTTAGGAAAGTCTTCATAGACATCGATACTTGAATTCTGTATTCCCTGGTGAAAACTCCAGTGCCGTCTATGGAATAAATCAATTTTCTCATTTGTTTCCTGAAGAGTTTAAAGGTATGGCATGATTGTGCCATTGGTTGTTTGGTTTCCGGATTTTTATTTGTTCCTGTAATTTTTGATGAATTGTGTAATTGTGAATCTGGTGACATGAGTCATAGTTAACATTTATTACATACTGAACGTCAAGCATGTGCCAGGTGCTGACAGAAAAATTAATTCATGGTCCTTCTCTTGTAATTATTGCCTAAGATTTAAATGTTATAATTGTAGACGTTTCCATGTGGCTGTAAGGGCCAATGTTCCATCCTTTGTGCAGTTTTTTAGTGCTGTTTCTATTCAAGACATCCACAGTTCCATGGGTTAGGATAAAACCAGCGATGTCAAGAAGACTCATTTTTATTATTGACCAAGTTCTAAAAGACAGGTCATTTTCTGTGGCAACTCCTAGTACTATTGTAGGAATTCCTATCTTGGTAGCTTTCAGTGAGTGCATTTCATGTTACGAGAAAGCATTAAAAGAAAATCTCAAATGGCAGGTTCTACCAGAAAGCTACTGTTTCTGTTTGAAAAGTTCCTGCAAAAAGAATCCCAGGGGGCCTCCCTATAATATAATGTTGGCTGCCTTTTCCTTCCATGTTTCAATTCAGCTATTTACTTAAGAAGCAAACCTTCCAGATTGCCCAGATACCGAGCAGAAGTGCAAACATCCATACCCAATGTGTCTTTACCATTAAGATTCGACTGGCGGGACAAGCGTGTTGTAACACAAGTGAGAAACCAGCAGACGGTGAGTTTCAGGAGTTGTTGTTGTTGCTGCTGCTGCTGCTGCTTTTCTCTTTTTAAATACTCTTAGTGTGGGAAGTCACCTTTGAGGTCCAGTTCAGTCAAACTTGTGATAGAAGCCATCATTTCTCTGGGTAAAGTCACAGAGATGATCTCCAATCATCCAGAAATGACAACTAAGGGAGAATCTCTGGTGAAATGAGAGACAGAGGCCAAAGCCTGACTGTTATTTTGAAGATAAGCCTGTCCCTCTGAACCCCCACCATTGGCATAGGCAATGTCAGCTGACCAGGGAAAGTCGATCCCCTAACCACAGGGATACAGTCTCAGTTTATCTGCAGTGGAAACCTCACCTTTTAGCTTTTTTAGCTTCCTGGTGTGTAGTGTCTTAGAGCAGTCACTATCTAGTTAGGATGCCTTTTTTACTTCTCAGGTTATACATCCGTTGATATAAATTCTACCACCAGATCATGTATTTACTTTATTATTGAATCCAGAGTGAAGTATTAGTCAGAAACTGAATCCTTCCAGGAAGTGTCTGTATTGTATTAAAGGAATACAATTGAATTAATCTTTTTTTTTTTAAACTTCAACAGACGAGGGGAGTGCTTTCTTTCTTTTTTTTTTTTTAATGTTTACTTATTTTTGAGAGAGAGAGAAGAGTGGGGGAGGTGCAGAGAGGAAGACACAGTATTCAAAGCAGGCTCCAGGCTCTGAGCTGTCAGCACAGAGCCCGATGTGGGGCTTGAACCCACAAAGTGTGGGATCATAACCTGGGACAAAGTTGGCCGCCCACCCGACTGAGCCACCCAGGCACCCCAGAATTAGTAATATTTAATCAAAGTAATATACTGTAGGGGTGTCTGAGTGGCTCCGTCGATTAAGCATCCAGCTCAGGTCATGATCTCATGGTTTGTGGGTCTGAGCCCCACGTCGGGCTCTGTGTTGACAGCTCAGAGTCTGGAGTCTGCTTTGGATTCTGTGTCTCCCATTCTCTTTGACCCTCCCCACTCGTGTTTTGTCTCTCTCCCTCTCTCTCTCTCTCTCTCTCTCTCTTCCTCTCTCTCTCCCTCTCTCTCAAAAACAAACATTAACGGGGCGCCTGGGTGGCGCAGTCGGTTAAGCGTCTGACTTCAGCCAGGTCACGATCTCGCGGTCTGTGAGTTCGAGCCCCGCGTCAGGCTCTGGGCTGATGGCTCGGAGCCTGGAGCCTGTTTCCGATTCTGTGTCTCCCTCTCTCTCTGCCCCTCCCCCGTTCATGCTCTGTCTCTCTCTGTCCCAAAAATAAATAAACGTTGAAAAAAAAAAACATTAAAATATTTTTTTCTAATTAAAAAAAAAAACAAAGAAATATACTGGAGAGATATTTTTGAACAGAAACTGCCCTCCTGGGACAGCTATGGAAAGGTAAACTAAAGCTAGCTATTGGTATGGTGCCCTGCAATCTGTATTTGCTTTTCTCAAGGTGTGGAAACCCACAAGTAGAGTTTGTTACTGCATATTTTCCTATGCCATAGGCGCTGGAGATATAGATATAGTAAGACACTTAAAGCAATAAAGTTGCTCGACAAAGACGACCAATTGTTCGTCTTCCTTTCTTTGCATGGGCCATGCAGCCCATGTCCTATGATTAAGGCAGCAGGGCCCAATTGCAAATCTTACTCTTACCTGTGCCTTTTCTATGGGTCCTTCTTCCTTGTGCATGATCCTTGATTTCATTTCCTCCATCTTTCCCTTTTTTTTTTCAGGACCAACACTTTTATTCTTTTGTTCCAGTTTGTTCAATAAGATCCAGTTAATAGATCCAGAATCAGGAAGAGTGTCAGGCAATATTTGAGTAAGGAATGACCAGTATGGGTTTTTATCATTATGACATTTTATGGGCATACGTGATAGGCCCGTGCTGGCTCCTTGACAGCCTAAAAAAGTAAATCATTCAGTTCCCGTGTCCATCAAGTCATGAGTACAACGTATATGACATATCCTCACCCCATGTCACCTCATGGAGATGGTGGATGTCATAGCGGCAGAGTGTCCGGGGAGGAGCAAGAAGGAAGTTGGTACACTTCCTAAAAGCAGAAGTCCCGTTCAGTGCACTGGTTAGTCTTTTAAAAGACCATCAGTTCGTCCAAGTGTTTTCTCAGTCTCTAAAATTCGCTTTTTTCTTGCATTGTCTACTGTGCAATAGCAATGCTACCAATTTATCTTTTCTTATGATTACATTTTGATGCTTGAAAGAGAATTTTGGTTTTCCTTTCTTTTGGCAGTTGGAAAATCTACAGGATGGGCAGTATTTTGCAGCCACCCCCCCCCCCCCCCCCCCGAGTCTGCTCATGTTAATTGACTTGATAACTTGTGATATGTAGAGATGTTGGCAAACTTGGTTTGGACATCATTTGAGGATAAACACTATGCTATCTCTCTTTTTAAACAGTGTGGAGGTTGCTGGGCCTTCAGTGTGGTGGGTGCCGTGGAATCTGCATATGCGATAAAAGGGAAGCCTTTGGAAGACCTAAGTGTTCAGCAGGTCATTGATTGTTCATATAATAATTACGGCTGCAATGGAGGGTCTACTCTCAATGCTTTGAACTGGCTGAATAAGGTGATTTCTCGGCCTTTCGAACTCTTCGTTTCCGCTTTTGTTTACTTAACATGCATTTAGAATGGAAACAGTTTACTCTCATATACCAAAGAATGTTTTTAAGTTCAGAAATTTAAACGACCGAAGCTTGAATTAATCAGATTTCAAAATGAATTGCTTTCAGGCAAGTCGGCTGTTGAGAAATCAAAGCGTGAAAAATCTTACCTGAGATCTGTTTTCAGAAAAACATGTATGTTTATTTCTTAGCACTTCTTAATAGGTCAGTGCTCTTTTACATAGAGACATTCGCATCATGTCCCAGAAGGATGAGAACATACGATTATTGATTTCCATAGAATTTTTGAATACTGAGATTATAAGGGATGTTAGAAATCAGCAAATGTAGTAACTCTTTATGTGGATGAAGAAATGAGCCCTGAGAGGTGAGATCATGTTGCCAAATTAGCAGCTGAGCCAGGACTGTGTCTTAAGTCTTCTGTTCCCACTGAAGGGCTTTATCCCATATATATACCACAGTGTCTCTCGGTGTTCTTAGGACACTCTCTGACATTGTCCTCTATCCAGTATCCACTGCATGAAGCCAGACAGTGAGGCTGTTGCTATGTTTTGTAAAAGTGGTCAAGCTGGAATTTCCCAAATTTGAATATCCTTTCCTTGTTCATTTTCTGTATTTTGAGTCACTGCATACCAGAAGCTGCTCGGTACACATCAGGGGCAACCAAGAATGGTGTGGTCCCTGGCTTCTGTAACGCCAGGAATCAGGAAAGTAAGATTGCGTCTCGACAACTAAAAAATAAATGACATGTGCCAGTCGAATGGCACAAAGATGTGGATAGAAAGAATGCTTGACCTGACCATTGCCTGTGCATAAAACGCTGTGCTGAGTGAGTCTCAGAGACTTGCTGACAGAACTTATGGCTTTGGAAGGAAAATGGCTCACCTTATTTTAACCTCAGGAGAAAAATGATAAGACTTTATTATCCAGTGGAAGAAGGTTCTAAGGAAGGAAGATATAGGGAAACAATAGTAGGAGAGAAAGATAATTGAGTTTAATTACTTAGTATGTCCCTACCAAACACCCAAAGATTTAATCTAAGGTCTTAATAACGTAAGGAATATTCGTGTGATGAGGGCGTGGCCAAGTTGAATCTTATTTTGACATGTTGCAGTAAGTTCTATTTGATTTCTGAAACAATTGCATTTTAAATAAAGAACATTCTGGATGTTCATTTTCTCTTAGACGCATGTAAAACTGGTGAGAGATTCAGAGTACCCATTCAAAGCGCAAAATGGCCTGTGCCATTACTTTTCTGATTCACATTCTGGATTTTCAATCAAAGGTTATTCTGCATATGACTTCAGGTAATTGTCTTATCCTAGTGTGTCTTTCCCTCTATTTCTTAATTTCTGATCCGTTGGCTATTCAGAATTAATAACTTGATTGAAGGCATAAGTGCCTACTTATTTTAAGACCTGCTTTTTACTAAAGAGACCAATGGAGTGCTATGGTTGTTACAACGACCAATGGATGTTGTTTCTTATGCATGATCAGCTTATTTTTCCATTTGTCATTAGAATAGAATTAACACATTTAAATCCAGCTTAAGGTGTAATTTATACTGACCACCTTCCTCTTAACAAATTGAGTTGTCATAATTGCCATTAGTATATTTCAGCCTTACTGTTGAATCAATCCAAAATTGCTTTGTGTTACTCTCCAGCTAATATCAAGCAATCTACATAACCAAGAAGCATTTTTTGAACACCCTTGGATTTTTTAAAGCATTAACTTTAATAAAAGCATAAACTGAAACTTAGAAGCAAATAAGAGTATATTACTGGAGGTAGATTATGCGGCATGCACTATAGGCACGAGGGACGCACAGGGGTGGATAAAGATAGGCCGAGGAAGGGCCCTGAAGTGTTGGAAGTTGAAGGGCAAGATGACTTTGGGTAGGTTCAGAGGGAAACAGTCGTTAAAAAGGGCTTTAAAAATGCATGAAAACCTGAAAGCCAGCTAGAAAACCATTGTGACCATTCAATACAGTGCAAGATAGGTGTTCAGGGATAATAGGACAAAGGAAGACACAAACAACTCCTTTTTGCGTTTAAAAAAATGTAGAGGAAACCTCACACAGTCTTTTGAAACAGAGAAAGCAGAAAGTAAATTATATTCAGCTGAGGTGACAGACTACCCTAAAACATACTGATACTGAATATAAAAGAGTCTCTTGATCCAGATGGTGCCAACCCATGAGATCTGAAGGAAATCAAGGGTGAAATTAGATCATTGAAGAAAATGGAACCCCTCTGAATAAGCACGAGTGTACCAGAGGGCTGGCACATTGCCGGCACAGCTCCTGTCCACAGCAAGGACTCTCGGGGTGACCCTAGGAACCAAACACCAGAGAACTGCGATCCCACAGACGGAGGCTCCTCAGAATCAATCACTAAATGTGCAAAGTCATTGAGTGCATCATTCCACATCTTTTTGAAGGAAATGCACTTTCAGAAATGAGAAAGTGTGCTTCTATCAGCTACCAGTTCCTTGGGAGTAAAAGGAAGGCGTGTGCACGAGAAATAACTCGATTTTCAAAATGTCACTTAAAAATTTCAGGGAATGCCCCATCATGAGTAGCAAAGTGAAAAAAAAAAAAAAAATTAGGAAGAAACCGGAGAAGAATAAGCATTAGCTTGAATTAGAGAGTGAGAGAGAGAGAATGTAAGTCACTGGCATTGGACCTGAAGTATGATCCATGTAATTCTTTGGCTAAGAAGAACAGAGGTCCCACTAAAAAAAATCTCTATGTTTACACTGAATATAAACATTCTGATAATACAGTGCTAAGCTAATCTGGAAAGAAAGAAAAAGAAAGAAAGAAAGAAAGAAAGAAAGAAAGAAAGAAAGAAAGAAAGAAAGAAAGAAAGAAAGAAAGAAAAGAAAGAAAGAAAGGGAGAGAGAGAGGAAGGAAGAAAGAAAAAAGAAGAGAAAGAAAAAGAGAAAGAAAGAAAGAAAGAAAGAAAGAAAGAAAGAAAGAAAGAAAGAAAGAAAGAAAAGGTTACCTAGTAATAATCTCGGAGCAGCGTTAGAAGAATGGTCTTAGATATGAGACATAATAGGTTAATACCCCTCATAGAAAGTAAAGCCCCCCCCCCCCCAGAGAATATTGAGGGATTTTATGTAAAGAATGAGAGAGGAGAAAGTCAAGGAGGAGAACAGGCTTTTTGGCCTGAACAGCTGAAAGGATGGAATTAACTGTCACTGGAGATATGAAAGTCTAAGGCATGAACGGATTCAGCAAGCAACATCATGTTCCAGCAGTAATCCCGAGAAACTCTGGAAGGGAAATGGAGAAATGAGACAGAACAGGAAAGGAAGGGTTTTCGTATTAAGCAAAATAGAACTGAGGGTACTGGTCCTACCGGGGAGCTATTGGGGCCAAGGTAAACTATGCATTTCAATGTTATCCCATCCAAATTGATGATCACTGCATTCCGTGTCAGTTGAGGGTGCTGCCAGGGTAGAGGTTGGGGGGGTGAGCTGGATTTCCTGGCTCTTTAAGAGAAGAGCCTCAGGCAAAAAACCACAGTGGGCCCCATGTTTGAAGCCAGGCTGATTGTGCCCCTGTTACCGCCTCCAACACCAGCACCACCACCGCAGTGGCAAGGGCCAGAGGACTTGGAAAGATTTTCCACAGCAACGCTGTAACCAGGCACTCGACTAGGCCCCTAACACTTAAATACCGTCACTTCCATTGAGGTTTCTGAGACTCAGGGAGGGTCACAGAGCTCGTGAACTAACTATAGGGCCACATTAGAATTCATATTTGTCGAGCTCTGAAACTCATACTTTTTCCCCTCCCTTTATTTCTCAGGTCATGAGCTCTTTAATTTTTCAGTAGTTTCAGACAGTGTGAGCCCACACACAGCTATCGGCCAAAAACTCCAAAAAATCTCATGCAGAGCCTGAAAAGATTAAAACTAAGCCAACCAGCAACCAACCAAACAAGCAAAACCTCACTGAGTCGTAAGAACATAGTCTAGTCGCAAAGGAAAATTACCATTTATATCCAGGCTTCTTCATGCATTTTTGTTTATCAGGCCCCAGGAAAGACCGTTCAGAACTCAAAATAAATATGAGAGTGACTATGTCAAGAAAAAGAGAAGGAACCCCGTATTAACAATGGACTGAAAAACTAGGGCACAGTATTAACACACTGAATTCTAGGAATGAGAAAATGGAAATCTACATACTCATGTAGAGTCTAGAACAGAAAAGACCTACCTTAGTCACTAAATCTCGATGACAGTAAACTTGAGAATTCTTTTAAAGATTGTAGGATTTGTATCTTACTGATCCATAAAGTGGATAGTAAGCATATGGGAAAAGATTTGATAACGTGTCCATTATCAGCAGAGTATATTTTGATAGTACACTTGACCCTCAAACAACACAGGCTTGAACTGCATGTTCCACTAATACGTGGGTTTTTTTCCAGTAAACACAATATGGTACTGTATTTTATTTTCCTTATGATTTTACGAAAACTTTTTTCCCTAACTTTATTGCAGGAATACAGTAATTGAGTACATAAAATGTACAAAAAATGGGTTAATCCACTGCTTATGTTATCAGCAAGTCTTCCAGTCAACAGTAGACTATTAAGGCTTTGGGGAGTCAAAAGCTATATGTGGACTTTCCACTATGTGGAGGTTCGGCACCCCTATCCCTGGGTTCACGGTCAATTGTAATTCTATATTGGGCTAATAATGGAAAAAAGATGCTGTTTGGAGTATATTTTGACTTGATAAAAGCCAACGTCTTTCTGAAACACAGATGGTAACAATGCTAGTCGGTTCTGGGGCTAAATGGAACTTTTGCCTTCTGGTCTTGACTGGCATGTCTTCCTATTTCATATTTTCCAGCATCTTTGATATCTTTTCTTTAGTGCTGCCTCCAAGCAGAGACTATTACTCAATTGGTTTTTGATCGTACAATGTTAATTACCCTTTGCATTCTAAAAACTATTTCTTCTTCTTGATGTTTCTCTTTCCATCATGCTGTCCTTGACACTGGATCTTTGATGTCATATATTTACGGTATAGCTTTTGTTTTCTTCAAAAGGTAGAGACAGCTGTATCACTGTTTTACAGAGATAATCCTATTTGTCATATTTGGATAGCAAAATAGTCAAAATTTTTACTATAAAATGTTCAAAAATTTGAATACAATAAAATACACATTATACACTACAATCTATGCTGAGCAAAATTGGTTTATTAGATAACTTAGAAATAAGAAAAGGAAGCAATATTTATTTTAAATGTAGAGTATGATTTATGTGTAGGCATGCTATAAAATTTATACCTACAATTTTATCCTTATACTGATTTGCGACATAGATGACTTCAGTCACCTGCTGGAGTCACTGGACTCCAGTGTGACTGAAATGACTCCAGTCTGTAGCTGGAATTTGAACCTAGCTATGTGGAACTTCACGGACTATACCCTACCTGTCCCAAGGTAATATTAATGAATACAAGTTATTATTACGGTAGCAAAAATTAGGATTGACTGCTTATAGATCTCCAAGAAAAAGATCTTCGTGTTAACAGGTAATATGGATAAATGTTTAGAATGAATGTGTAGTTTCTGTCTCAATAAATTCTCTTATGCACTCAATTTTTTCCCCACCTGTGGACAAAATATCCCCTTGATAGAAACTGATCTCCGGCTGGATATGACGATGGATTATTTACTCTTTCAAGCTACAAATCCAACCATAGCTTGCTGTGGCAATACACTCCCAAATGCTATCTAAATGGCTTGAAATGTGAGTGACTTGGTTTCAGTGTCCACACACAAAGCTGACCTTTAAAAGTGTAAATAATGGTTTAATCACATACTTCCAAGATTGATGACGGCTGAGTGTTGTGTAACATTAGGCTTTATCAGTACACGTCCATGTGTGAGAGCAATAACTATGTCTTTCGCAGTCTTTGCAATCTAGTACTGGTTCTCCTGGTACCTTGGCATCTCTTCTGTTGCATGATGACAGTCGCCACTTTGAGATAACCCTCCCCTATGATTTCTGCATTTGGCGTTCCGTTAACAGAAGTTGGTCAGTTTCTTGATTCTCACATGGTGTGGCAGAGATATGTCTCCGTGCATTCAGTCTTCTCACTTTCCTTATTAGAAGAATCCCCTTAGAACTAGATGCTCTAGCTAGCTACAAAACTCCACTTCCCATCTTCCCTGAAGCTAAACTTAGTTAACCCGTAACTGAATACTAGCCAATACATATACATATAGGCATATGCACAATGGGCACGTTACTTTTCGGAAGTCTTCTTGACAGGAATGTAGCCCTTCGTTCTCCTTTTTGCTGTTTAAAAGATATGTTGAATGGCTAGAGCTCCAGCAGCCACCTTGGGCCACAAATTGACCTTGGCAATGGGAACCTCACATGGCAGAATGAGAATCTAGAAAGATTCTGACTTCCAATATCTTGGAGCCTCATAGCAGTCCTGGGCTGTCGATCTCCCAGACTTCTTCTAGTTTCCGTTCTTTACATCTTCTGTAATTGCAACCAAGTCTATTCCTAACCATGCACAGATTAAATAGATTATAAAATATCTTTACCTCAAAAACTAACCTCCTTAGGGCACCTGGGTGGCTCAGTCGGTTAAGTGTCCGACTCTTGATTTCGGCTCAGGTCATGATCTCACGGTTTGTGGATTCAAACCCCACATGGGGCTCTGGGCTGATGGTATGGAGCCTGCTTGAGATTCTCAGTCTCCCTCTCTTTCTGCTCCTCCCCTGCTTGTGTTCTCTCTCTCACCTCCTTGACTGTATATTTCCTCTTTTGGTAGTGACCAAGAAGACGAAATGGCAAAAGCACTTGTCACCTTTGGCCCATTGGTCGTGGTAGTAGATGCAGTGAGCTGGCAAGACTATTTAGGAGGCATAATACAGCACCATTGCTCTAGTGGAGAAGCAAATCATGCAGTTCTCATAACCGGGTTTGATAAAATAGGTAAGTGCTGAACAGACTTGATTGGTTACTTTCCAGCCTGAACTCTGATTAACAAATGATCACCATTATTTTTAAAATGCTGAAATTTCGGGGCGCCTGGATGGCTCAGTTGGTTAAGCATCCAACTTCAGCTCAAGTCATGATATCATGGTTTGTGGGTTTGAGCCCCACATCGGGCTCTGTGCTGACAGCTCGGAGCCTGGAACCTGCTTTGGATTCTGTGTCTCCCTCTCTCTCTGCCCACCCCCTCACTAATACTCTATCTCTCTCTCTCTCTCAAAAATAAATAAAAACATTTAAAAATCAATCAGTCATTCAATCAACCAAGCTGAAATTTGGTTGTTCTATGTCTAAGTCCTCCTAAGACCTTTACAGCTTTTCAGTAGACTTCCAGGTACAAATGCCCTGTCATGTCCCCCCCCCCCCCACCAATCAATTAATACCTTGTTAAAACGATGATAATTCTTGATTTAAATAATGTGCATTCTCCACCTGGAATGTTTACAATACTTGTTGGGAAAAAAGACCTGCTTATTATTTTATCATACATATCTAACAGTTCTTCCTCTCCCCCCGCCCCCCTTTTCCTAATTCCCTGGAATTGCGTGTATGTTTTCATTTCATGCTATCCAAATTCAAACGTGTATTTTTCCATTATTAGAGTGTGACACTAACTACAGCTCCGATTTACTTGGCTAGTATATATTAGAATAACATTACATTTTTAATCTTTTGCTCAGAGCTACTATACTTCTCCAGAACTAGCCTTTAAATAAACATGCATTCACAAAAAAATCTGAGTTTTTCAGAACTTGTTGCCATTTTATATCTTGCAGGAAATACTCCATATTGGATTGTGCGGAACTCATGGGGAAGTTCATGGGGAGTAGATGGCTATGCCCATGTTAAAATGGGAGGCAATATTTGTGGTGAGTCATGAATTGATGTTTAAAACTTCAGGCTAAATGTACAGGAAGATACTTTGACTATATTAAAATTATATATCTGTCCAGTCCATAGTATACTTTTACAGTAATAATTTTCATTCTTTAGCCAACTGTTACAAATAAAATAGTGTTGGGGCACCTGGGTGGCTCAGTCGGTTAAGCATCTGACTCAATTTCAGCTCAGGTCATGATCTCGTGGTCATGAGATCGAGCCCCATGTGGGGTTCCTTGCTGGGCCTGGAGCCTGCTTAAGATTCTCTCTCTCTCTCTCTCTCTCTCTCTCTCTCTCCCTCCCTCCCTCCCTCTGCCCCTCCTTATGCACCTCCCCTGTTCATGTGCATGCACACCCATGTGCTTGCTCTCTCTCAAAAATAAATTAATTAATTAACCTAATTAAACAGTGTTCTTAAAAGAGACACTATTGCATATGTTCATATTTTGAAAAGGAGGAGAGACTTCCCTGAAAACAAATATAATGAGCAAAATATGATAAAAGGGTGTAATAATTTACTGAAGTTAACTTCAAACACCATATAAATAATCAACTTAGGAGTCCAAAATTCTCCAAAAACATCACCTAGTTCTAATTTATTTTATATAACTGTATGAATTTTTCTCAACTTGTGCATTATCATATTCGCTCAAGGATTATCAAAAATCACTTTTTCTTTGTATCAAAATGTATGAAAATATGGGCATTAGGATGGTCTCTGATTTAATATGTCCCTTGTCACACCTATAGATTCAAGCAAAACAAGAACTGGGATTGAGAGGCTAAAGCAAATACCAAATATACTTATCTTACTGAATAACAATTTTTTTTGGTAATTAACTACAAGCAAAATTAAAACAGCTAGTTTAGTATTTTATGCTGTATTCTAAAAACCTATATTTAAACCTATATTCTAAGGTTTTTGATCTAGAAAATCAGCATAGTTAGGAATCAAGTTTGAGCCAAACTATATTACATATGAAAGTGATCATTTAATTTCTCATTACAATGATTCCTAACATGCATACAGGTTTTTAAAAGTTGTAGAACCCTCCAGATAGACTGAGAAAAGAGAGTACAGAAAAGTTTGACAGTTTATATTTTGATTCAGTCTAGTGACTACTGGCCAATAGTTGCATAAAGTAGGATCCATGAGAGTTAATCAATGATTTGTTCTATCACTCCAATAAAATATTTATCTTCAGTTATTTATGAAGGAGAGTGATCCTCACAGAAATCTTCCAGCCAGAGCACTAGCAACCCGATCAGGCCTCCACTTTTTAGCATCATCGGGGGCTTTCACATTTTTGGAACTTGCAGGTAAATTACTGCTGCCATTCATTGAACTTCTGCTGCTAAACATAAATGATCTCTGTCAAAGTGGTGGTGCTTGGATCTAGGCTGCTTCAGAGCTCTGGCACGAGAGTTGCAAGAACATGATTCAACATTGGTTCATAATTGCCTCATTTTGACTCTGTATCCCTCCCCCCACACACACCTCTTCTTCATCCCCCATCTACTGAGGGTGAGTTGGAATAATTTCTCCTGTCTACCTGTTTTCCAATTTGATTTTCCAAAGCTTGCCTGGTTAGTAATTATGTAGGGATCCAAATCCTTCCTGAAAATGAGTATTTCCTGAAAGTTCCATACCTGGTGATGATCACATTTCTCTTATGAATGATGTTATGACACAGACAGCATCCCATGGCCCCAAGAGATTTTAAATACATAGCTAATTACACTGAAATCCAGTCTTCAAATGGACTGTTTATTGCTTTCGCCATGATATTGAGATGTATGGTCTTGTGTGCCAAGAAAGCATAGCACATTTGTGATTTATTTAAATTTTGTGCAAGTTCCAAGTTTGAATTTTCAAATTGTATTTAAAACAGTCCTATAGGGGCGCCTGGGTGGCGCAGTCAGTTAAGCGTCCGACTCCAGCCAGGTCACGATCTCGCAGTCCGTGAGTTCGAGCCCCGCATCAGGCTCTGGGCTGATGGCTCAGGGCCTGGAGCCTGTTTCCGATTCTGTGTCTCCCACTCTCTCTGCCCCTCCCCCGTTCATGCTCTGTCTCTCTCTGTCCCAAAAATAAATAAATGTTGAAAAAAAAAATTTAAAAAAAAAAATAATAATAATTGTATTGCCTCTAAGCAATATATATGAGTGCAATAAAGATTTCAGATATATTCATCTATTCAGGTAATAAGTCTTTGGGGGGTTTTTGTAGTTTTTTGAAACAAAAATATTAGTCATGTCTTCTAATATCTTCTTTTGAAGTTGCCATATTTATCCTAACAGCTATAATCATTCCATTATTTTTTGGAGGAAATAGACTAGCACTGATGATTTCTTTTTTTCTAGGTATTGCAGATTCTGTTTCTGCTGTATTTGTGTGATTTGTTGGGCAGATCAAGGGACAACTACAAAAATGAAGGTTCATAATGGAATGGAGCATAGAGTTCATTCTCAGTGTTATTTGCCTGTAGGCCATCAGCTCAGTGGCCGGGAAGTAATCTGTGGAAGAGTTGCCTACTTTAGGTTGAAGGTCAAGTTAAGAATTTCTTCAATTTGAACACACTTACCTGGTTTGATTATTGTTTTTGTTTGCTTGTTTTAATGATATACTTCTAGTAAGATTAAAGGAGGGATAGGAATTGCTTTTCCTTTGTAGAATATAATCACTAGCCTTAGCTCACACTTATATAGAAGAAAGCCAGCCTAAAACGGGGTGTGCTTCTCACAATTCACAGCCCACCGAGATGGACTTTCTTAAAGATTTTGAAATGCCAATTGCTTCACCTCCACAAAAGACGCATACCCCATGGGGCGCCTGGGTGGCGCAGTCGGTTAAGCGTCCGTCTTCAGCCAGGTCACGATCTCGCGGTCCGTGAGTTCGAGCCCCGCGTCGGGCTCTGGGCTGATGGCTCGGAGCCTGGAGCCTGTTTCCGATTCTGTGTCTCCCTCTCTCTCTGCCCCTCCCCCGTTCATGCTCTGTCTCTCTCTGTCCCAAAAATAAATAAATGTTGAAAAAAAAAATTTAAAAAAAAAAATAATAATAATTGTATTGCCTCTAAGCAATATATATGAGTGCAATAAAGATTTCAGATATATTCATCTATTCAGGTAATAAGTCTTTGGGGGGTTTTTGTAGTTTTTTGAAACAAAAATATTAGTCATGTCTTCTAATATCTTCTTTTGAAGTTGCCATATTTATCCTAACAGCTATAATCATTCCATTATTTTTTGGAGGAAATAGACTAGCACTGATGATTTCTTTTTTTCTAGGTATTGCAGATTCTGTTTCTGCTGTATTTGTGTGATTTGTTGGGCAGATCAAGGGACAACTACAAAAATGAAGGTTCATAATGGAATGGAGCATAGAGTTCATTCTCAGTGTTATTTGCCTGTAGGCCATCAGCTCAGTGGCCGGGAAGTAATCTGTGGAAGAGTTGCCTACTTTAGGTTGAAGGTCAAGTTAAGAATTTCTTCAATTTGAACACACTTACCTGGTTTGATTATTGTTTTTGTTTGCTTGTTTTAATGATATACTTCTAGTAAGATTAAAGGAGGGATAGGAATTGCTTTTCCTTTGTAGAATATAATCACTAGCCTTAGCTCACACTTATATAGAAGAAAGCCAGCCTAAAACGGGGTGTGCTTCTCACAATTCACAGCCCACCGAGATGGACTTTCTTAAAGATTTTGAAATGCCAATTGCTTCACCTCCACAAAAGACGCATACCCCATGGGGCGCCTAGGTGGCGCAGTCGGTTAAGCGTCCGACTTCAGCCAGGTCACGATCTCGCGGTCCGTGAGTTCGAGCCCCGCGTCAGGCTCTGGGCTGATGGCTCAGAGCCTGGAGCCTGTTTCCGATTCTGTGTCTCCCTCTCTCTCTGCCCCTCCCCCATTCATGCTCTGTCTCTCTCTGTCCCAAAAATAAATAAATGTTGAAAAAAAAAAAAAATTTTTAAAAAAAGACGCATACCCCTTGAACTGTAGAAAGGTCATGTAGAAAGAAGCAAAAGGAGAAAGGCACTTTTTAAGAGAAATAGATTGAAATTGAAGGACCGATATGGCAGCTATATGGTAGGAAAAACTCAAGTAGAATTGTCTGAGAGACTATTGTTAGGAAACTTTGTCAATAGGATTCCAATGGGTCTTTTTTCTTAGTTTGTTCTCCCTGTGTTGAGGAGCAATGCATTTTCCCACTCTCTTTCTCTTACTCTACTGTGCCACTCCTAAATTTTCCTAGTGACTTGACTTCCCTGACTAAAGAAGCCTCCTATTTTTACTATTTTATAACCATTTATTTGGCTCCATTTGTTTCTAAGCCTTTATCAAACCAGGATCTCACCTTTCGGTTCCTCCCACCATTCCTAGGCACCACCCCTTTCAAAGCCTAATCCCATCAGTCTGAGGTCTCAGCCAAACTGAATTTCCTAGGCTCTCTGGTTTCCCACTCTTCTGCTTATTTTTTCCAGGTTCCCATTAGAACCACATTTTTGTGCATCTCTGCCTTCCTCCTGGTTCCTGGTTCTTGATGCTGGTGTTCTCTCTTACAAAAGTCATTATGTGTGGGTGTGTGGGAGTGTAAGAACCTCGGGGCATAAGAGCTGACCTACTCAGTGAACAGAAGCACAATACATAGTATTAAATGGATTAATATAAGAAAATCATATCCAATATTGCATATGCAAACTTTTCTGAAATTTATGGTTGCTTTCTAAGGTGGAATATCTTAACAAAAACAGAATTTTAGACATAACAGCAACCTCTAAAAAAATTGAGGGGGTGCCTGGGTGGCTCAGTCGGTTAAGCATCCAATTGACTTCAGCTAAGATCGCAATCTTGCAGTTCGTGAGTTTGAGCCCCACGTCTGGGCCTGTGCTGACAATGAGGAGCCTGCTTGGGGTCCTTCCTCTCTTCCCCTCTGTCTCTGTGCCTAGCCTGCTCACACGTGCTCTCTCTCTCTCTCTCTCTCGAAATAAATAAGCATTAAAAAAAAATGAGGACGCCTCATTTTCCTCTTACTTTTGATCTTTATTTATCCATCCCCTTTCTTAGAAAAAGAAAAAAGCAAAACAAAACACTGTATTTCTTTGTTTTACACCAAACCAGAAGCAATCTCAAAATAATATGTGTTGACCCAGGTTTAGAAACGTTCCAGGAGGAAAAATATTGATAATTCTGATTAACATTTTCATTAGCCAAGTAGGTCAGAAAGGAACCATGTCCTGGTTCGTCTAGCTTGTATTTATTTACTGACTTCTGTATAAGTGCTCTTCTGATCATCTTTTTCAAATATTAAATGATTTTTAATTATAAAATGAATAATACCTCTCAGCTGTTCTGGATTTTGATGGCATTTATAATAAAACAACCTATATTTGACTTTGGGTGAAAAAGACTCTTTTGATAAGTGTAAGTCCTACATTTTGTGAACACAGTGTTGATGTGCTTTACATTCACATGTTTTCTCGGCTCCAAACCTATATATTCAATTTTTTGGTTTTCCCCATAGACACCTTAACCTCAATGTGTCCAAAATTATTCCCCTTTCCCTCCTTCAAAGAACAAAACAAAACACAACGAAATGAAATAAAAATATGTCTGCACCTCCTAGAGTCACTATTTGGTTAACATCATCAACATTATGTAATCACCCAATCAAACATAGTGGGGGAAATTTTAGATATTTAATCAGGTCAGCTGCACTTTAGTAACCCATCACTTAACCACCTACCTCCTCTCCATTTCTACCATCCTTTCCTAGACGCATGTTCTTTAGAAATGTCTTATCTCCACTAGTCAGTAGTCTACTTACCAGACCCCATGTCCCTTAATACATAGGTTCTCAAAGTATAGTCCCCAGACCAGAAGCCACTTGAGGACTTATGAAACACTTTGTTTTAATTAGTGCTCCAGGTGATTCTGACGGATGTTATTATCATCGATTTACCGTGTGTTCCCTGGATTTGCATTTCTGTGAGACATCATTATCATGTTATCCCCCTGCTTTAAACCGTTGGGGAGCTCTGTAATGCCTAAAAGATAACATGCCAACTCTTGGGGCACCTGGGTGGCTCAGTCGGTTAAGCATCTGACTTTGGCTCAGGTCATGATCTTGAGGTCCGTGAGTTTGAGCCCCGCGTCAGGTTCTGTGCTGACAGCTCAGAGCCTGGAGCCTGTTTCGGATTCTGTGTGTCTCTCTCTCTCTGACCCTCCCCCGTTCATGTTCTGTCTCTCTCTGTCTCAAAATAAACGAAAAAAAAAAAAAAAAAA